GAGTCTCTCTCTCCATGCTAGGAGTTTCATTTTTTGTTTTGGGGTTGTAGTCTCTCTCTCTGTGTGCGGGAGTTTCACTCATATTATTGTGACCGGGATTCTTTCTTCGAGTCATTAATTGAGCTTGTAATCAAACCTTGGTTTCAGTCTATACGTCAGTTTACGTCAGTTGCTAAGGGTAGCAAAGTTGCTAGGGGTAGCAATTTGACGTATTCTGTCCCGCCTTCTCACCCTCAGCGCGTTGAGTCACATCATATTCGCTGTGTCCGTGCTGTTGTAATTTATTATTATTATTGTACTTTTTTTTATTGTTGATTTTTTTTTCTTAACCTTTCTTTTTTGTTGATCGTGTCTCTTTTTGCTTGGCAGACATGACGAGCGAGAGAGTTGTGACGATCTCTACTACTGGGGGGAACTCTGTCTCTTTTTCCCCTAGTATTTTTTGTGTTCCCGTGGGTACTATAACCTTCAGTTCGTTTGAGCACCCTGTTCAGATTACCTTGGGTAATCCTACGCCTTCTGAAGCTGTTGCTCTGTGCCCTCCACCTAAAAAGGGGAGTCGAGCACATAGAGCCACTCTTGCTGAGGTAGCTCACATCGAGCCCGTCCCTTCCTCGAAGAAGAGGTCTGCGCCAGATGATGATGGGCCACAAGCCCTTCAGTCTTCTCCAGATTGTCGGGTCGTCCCTCCGTGTTTTTCACGGATGTCCCTACCTTCGACAGGACAGTCTTCTGGCAGCTCTATTGCTGCCATTGTTTCCCCTGCCGCGGTCTCGGACCCTGTGGTCTCGGTTCCCTCTGAGGTTGATCCTGCTCCTAAGTTGGGTAGGAAGGCCCGGAGAAACCGGAACAGGTTGCTTAGGGCCCAACAGCAGGCTATTACTTCTACTGTTTTGGTTCCGATTCACGAAGAGTCCCCGACTCCCACAGATCAGAACCCATTCTCTGTGCTTTCTGGTTGTCAAGACTATGTCCCTGCTAGGATTGCCAGGAAAGTTCACCCTCCTCGTGGTGGTGCAGGTTGTCTCAGACCTGCTGTCTATATTGATAAGGCTACCACAAGCCTGTTATCTAAGAAAATTGTGGGGGCTGTTTCCTCTTTGAGGGGAAAAGGGCCCATTTCTGAGAAGGAGCTCCTCACCCAGATTTCTGAGACATCTGAGCGGACCGTGAGAGAACTCCTTTGCTTCCCTCACCCTCGAGGTCGTCGTAGTAGGACGTGGGCTTCAACCCGTCGCTCTACTACTCGCCGAGGGGGGCTTCCTTCCGTTGCACATGGGGTTAGGCCTACCGGGGTGTTATTAGGAACCCCTAGCGTGGCGCTCAATCCCAATGCACCAGAGTTTGTTCCCGCTGTCAAGTCTACTGTTGTAGTGGCACGGTCCGCACCTGTTGTACTTGTGGAAATTGATAAAAAGAAAAATATTGCTGCTTATGCACCTTCTTCTTCTTCTTTGATTAGAGATAATGTAAGCA